TAAAGCTCGGATACGTAAATTTTCCATTGCGTTAACGATGCATGCTGGTTGTGCGCAAAACACACCACAACAGGTCATTTAAGTTTTTATTTTGCATACTTGAGAGCCCTGTGAGTCATTACTTGCCTTTTTGGGTTGAGAGTGGAATAAAAAAAAGAAAATATAGAAAAATCCACACTGTTACTTATTGCCAAACTCTTGTTAACTCATTGTATTGAGAAATACTATGTAACTTTTGACATTGGCCAAGTTATACTGTATAAATGATTCTGCAGTTCATGTATATGAATGTCTGTTTTTGATTGTCTATACCTTCTTATATAATTTAGAAAAAATGCCACCTCCACAAATAAGATAAAAGATATCAGGAGCTTTTTTAACAGTTGGAAAGTAAGTAAGAGAAAGCACAAGTAATAGCAAATTATGAATTGTGATGATTAATCTTCTGTTAACATACATAACTGCTTCTCATTCAGTCTACAGCTGAGTTTAGTATAGAAGGCAACACACTATTGCAAATATAGTGTGTGATTACACAACAAATTCTGGGGGAGAAACTCTGGACCCCGTGTCAATGGGTGTAGACTCAGGTCGTAGTGAATGTCCCCACCAAGATTGGAACCAAACCTACACCATTGCTTAAAAGTGTTATGAAATCTCACATTCCCCCCTCTGGTCATACATTCACGTGTGACCATCAGGATCAGTAAACAGCAACATAACATCATAACTCAATACTTCAAAAACTCATAAACTCGGTACTTCACTCGGTACCTCAAAAAACTCAGAACTCGGAATACTTCAAAAACTCATAAAACATGTTCAGATCTTTCATAAAACTTGTCAACAATCTTCAGTAAAATACCAAACTTCATCAGTCGATGGTGGTTCCAGATATTGCTTTGAAAACAGTCTCTCCCACTTCTCTGTGTTGGTTTCTTCAGGCTGCATTTGTTGTGTCGAGCCATGAATTCTTCTGTGACGTGTCTTTCAATCGCACGTTTCAGCTTCAGTGTCCAGATTCAGAAATCCAGATTGTTCCAAATTATGTCCAAATTGTGTAATCCAATTTTTCCAAATGGTGTTCATGCAAAAGAGGACGATGGTATTGTCCATGTCTCAGCAGCTCACAGCCTGACTGGAATCAGGGGCTGTGCAGATTGTCCATGTGCTGATCCAGATGCATGGTTTCTCTTGAGGTTTCTCAGTTTTAGCTTGAAAAAAAAACACATTTTGTGTAAAAAAAAGTAGTGTTCTGTTCTCTAGATGTTACAGACAAGGCCCGCATCCTTCCACCACCTGAAGAAGATGACAAAGTCTGGGATCGCGTCTTTAATTCAGACAGAAGACATGTTTTATTGTCGATGGTAGAGACAGCACGAACAAAGCACACGATCACAGATACAATAGAATGCAAGTGTATTATACAGAGCGGAGGCATGGAGACCTCCAATCAGCAGCTTCCACGGTGCCATGTAGCTTGGCCTTCAGATAGACAAAACAAGGGAAAAGTACTGGCTTCTGCACATTGATAGATTGATGAGTTTAACTTTAACAAAAGTTGCTTAAAAGTGTTATGAAATCTCACAATAGGATTAATAAATATATGTTAATTCAGTATATTATCATTTCATTTTTAACAACATTCAACAAACAACATTTTATTTAACCATGTAATTGAGTCCAAACATTCTGTATGTTCTTGGTTCCATATGCAATTAATACGACTGGAAGTTAGCACTCTCTGTCCTCAGCAAGAAGGTCCCGGGTTCAAATACCGGTCAGAAATACCAGGCCCTTTCTGAGTGGAGTTTGCATGTTCTCCCTATGTCTGCTCCGGTTTCCTCCAAGTGCTTCGGTTTCCCCAATACAATTAAAAACACAAGTATTAGATCAAATCTTCTAGCTCCTGACCAAGACGAGCATCAACATCTGGAGATGGGCCCCGGGCGCTGTAACAAGGCGACACTGCTCCTGACAGAGCCGCGAATGCATTGAAGAATGGGTCAAATATAGAGGACAGTAAACTTACTGGGCAAAAAGGAAAACTGAGGAAACTCATCACAAAGATAACTAGTTACTAAAATACAATACAATTTAGAATACATTAGCTACAATCTCAGTAACTGCAGCTATGCCATACTTGAACTAGTAAAGGACAAAAAAACTTAAAATGATGCCACTTTTTCACTCCAAAGGAAAAAATAATAGTTTTTTAGAAAGTGTTTACAAACAAGTCACTCAAAGTATTTATATTGTTCTAATATATATAAATTACATTTTTATAGTGATATGTGATGAATGACACATTTAGAGTAACTTGCCCCACATTGCGTCCTACACAAATATGCATTAAGTAACATCCTTGGAAGTTTTAAGACGTACTTGTCTGCGTAGGAAAGTTCCACTGAGAATGTTTATATGAGCTTGTGGCAGGTTTTTTTATATTTATCAAAAGGAGTTATCTCACATTATTGAACTTGTCATGTTTTTCCCACTACTTCAATGTGAAATACAACACTGTGAAAAGAGACATTCAGCAACATCCACACATGTTACAACTGAAAGTGTTCGTCTGTTTAAGCCCTGGGTTGTATCACAAGCAACTTTGTATTACATTTACTTACATAATGTCAACAGATTATGTCATGTGAAATACGGGAGCAAGTTTTACTTTTCCTCATAATTCCCATCACTACTAAACTGCCATTACCCCATGATTATTCTTATCTGACCTCCGCCTGATGTTATAAACCCCCCACCGAGCTTTTGAGCCTCTCTCCCATTCTTCAACTGTTATCTTCTCCGAGGAAACAGTCACTTGTAACTTCAACTGCGCAAAGCCAAATCAATGAAGAAGGTAGGAGGGTTCTTAAGCCAAAAGGGCAGATTGTCGGGGCGTTCACTTTGCGCTCCCTCATGCCCCCTGCACCTCTGTGGCTGTCAGGCAAGCGGGGAGAGCCAGAGGGTGGGGGGGTGATGCTTCCAGTGGGAGGTGGAGATTTGACTATCCCACCCCGTCTAAATGTCGCTCCAGTAGTGCTGTGAACGGCACACACACAGACACACACACAGACACACATGGACACACAAATAGAAGCACATCCAAGCCAGCACGGTCTCCACAGGAAACTTCCAAAGCCATAATGCGAAGACGGCACCTCGGAGCAGACGCTTGCATTGCTCAAACCATTTGGGAGACGCTTCGCCTTTGATAGTGCGTTAATTACTCATGTGATGTGATACAGATGTCTAGGGGCCCAAAGTTTGCCTGACGCGTTTTCCAAAAGGGGGGCAAGGCACGGCAAGACACTGGAGCGGCAGCAGTAGGTAGGTGAAAAAGCAAATGTATCTATTATTGATGGTTTTGGGAGGTTGTCACATATCCCTATAGTGTGATGCTAAGTCGGGATGTTACTTGAAGGGCTGGCTGCTAAATAGCTCTTTGTGTACTTGGTGACAGCTGGGACTTTGAACAGGAAGAACCGGGGGGCTAGAGCAGTTGTGTGACATGATGAAAAGGGCGCTTCTATGAGTCTGACAGCTCCCCAAAACTTTTGAGTCGCAGGGAAAATCAACGGGGCCGTTTTCGGTAGGTTAAGTTTGTTTGCTGCGGTCTGGAAAAAGAATGCAAATGTTTAACTGCGGGTGAGCGGATTTTGATTCCGACCTGATGTTAACGCGGAGAAGCCCCGCAGATATCCTTTCATGTAAAAAGACAAAAAAATAGTTATTTGTTTTTGGGGGCCTTGTGTTTAGACGTGGGGTAAACTGGAAACAGGCTGATTGTGAAAAGAGGAGATGGTACATGTAATGTGGTCAACAAAACATGACTGGAGTGTGACTCAAACCCAAATGCATGACTGAGAATAGTTTGGTATTATTTATTTATATATTTTAACTATTTTGGTCATTTGTCAGTAAAAAGAGGGAATTCACATACATAAAACAACTATTATGTGTGTGTGAATAGAAAATCATAGAAGTTCTATTGTAATACAGTTACATCTAAGCAGAAATTTATTTTTTTTTCTTATTTTTCACTCATCATTAGTTGTGCATGTTATAATAACAACAGAAACTCATGATCATAAGTTTCCATCCCCCAGTTCTCAAAAGCGTGTATTTGCCCTTTAATATCTATGACAGCTTGGAGTCTTTTGTTGTAGTTAAGGATGAGGTTCTTTATCCTCTGTGATTGTAACGCTGCCCATTCTTCTTAGCAAAGAGCCTCCAGTTCTTGCAAATTCCTGGGCTGCCTTACATAAACTGCAAGTTTCAGATTTCCTCAGAGCGGCTCAATGGTGTAATATTTTGAAAAGAAAAACACAATTTTATTTGACAATAAATGGCTTAACAACCACTAACGATTGGTGAAAACAAATGTTATCATTCATAATCTCCAAACTATGACCAAACAATGTCCTTTCTGCTTGGGTGTGTAAACTTCTAAGCACAACTATATGACAAGGTAAATGTATTTTACTTCACACAAAATTGTATTATACAACTTAAGGATTGGTTCGAGTCTTTCAAAAGGGCTGCTTTAGCGTGACAAAAACCAATGCTGGCATCTCCCATCTGTCTGACTCCATGGTAAAACCTTTTATATTATGCACATTATGAACATGCCCAAGTCACTTAATTCGAAGAGGATAGTAAGCTGACATTTCTGCTTGTTGCTGACACATTGGATTTCAGTAAATTTTAATCTGGCGTGATGATAACCTTTTACCCTCCTTGGCAGCGACATGATACATTTTCACTTTTTGTTTTTGTAATCTTTTCACAGTGATTTATCAGGACAGCCCTTCTAACCAGTGAAATCAAAGCACCAAGCACCTTCCATAATGGGCCCTCCAGCTGCGCATTTGTTGCTGCTAATAGCTTGCATGGTGGCCAGTGGAATTTGCCAGATAAACCAAGGTGAAGAAGAGGATGGGACCCACCCACTGACCCTGGAGTACTCCACTCTTCATTCTCCAGTTTTTCACACCACCATGAATCCATCCAGTGTGGGACCAATAGTGCAGAAAGTTGTGTCATCCTCAAATGGGACGGTGATGAAAAAGCTCAAGCCTCCACCAGCCTGCATTATGCCCACGCAAATAAATGTGTACTTCAGATACATTAACACAGTTATCTCCATCGTGGTGTTTGTGGTGGGGCTGGTGGGCAACGCCACACTGCTGAGGATTATACACCAGAACAAGTGCATGAGGAACGGGCCCAATGCACTGATAGCCAGCCTGGCTCTGGGGGATCTCATATACCTCACCATCGAGAAGCCCATCAATGTCTTCAAGGTAAGGTGTACTTGTTTGTTTGTCAATGTGACACTGGGATCAAAGGCATAAGACTTTTTATGGGTAAATTCCAGTGGGGGTGGGCCCCGGCTCAAAAGTGGCCAAAATGACGTGCGCTGACATGCTTGCAATACCACCCCGGGCCAATGTGGGTGGACCCAGAATAAGAATTATTCAATGCAAACATATAGCATTAAAGGACTTCTCGATAACGTCTTTACAGGATGGTCCAAAAGTTGGATCTTGGCCCAAAGCTCCGTTCCACATGTGTGTCAATACTGAGGGGAGTGAATTTTTTTTGGACCACTCTAGTTTAGTCGCTGTGAATTTTTGAAGGCACTCGTTAAATGAATGGAGCTTGCGCCGGCTGATGCATGCGCAGATGCGTTTTTCCACAATTTTCTTTTGGGCGGGACCACTCACGGCCATTTTGGATAGCTCCAGTAGAGCACAATTTTTGGCCCATTTGTTTAAACGGCAGAGATAGGCGTGACTACGTCTGTTATTATTTACAGTCTATGGTAAAAACCCCCCGGTATATTTATAGTATAATGAAAGGAAAGAAGGAGGGACATTAGATTGTACATGTTTCATACAATTCAATTCAATTCAATGTGTGTTTATATGGCTCTAAATCACAACAGTAGTTATCTTAGAGGACCATACAAAGCCATTGAATTTGCCAACCTGGATCAAACACAAGAAATGCAATGATAAAAAATAATGAATGCGATGATTAAAAAAAACTTAACTAAGAAACATCAACTAAACAAATCCCAACACGACATTTAACAAAAATAAACATATTTGAAAGTTTATAGAATAAAGAAAATTGTATATAAGTATATACTGTATAATCATAAGACTTAAGAACATATTATTCAATAACTTGTTGCTCTTTTGACCCATTACTTTAAAACAATTTACGGTGAAAAGGCATTATTCCAAACAAAGACAAGACGTTTATCGACCAATGGATAGGTTTCCCCACTGAAAGATCAAGGCTGTGTCGTCACTGACAGAGAAGCCATCCTCCTGTGGACCACCTGCAGGAGGATCAGTGAGGGGCTGGTGCTCTGTGGATTGGGTGGCAGCTGGTTGCCATCCCTCCGACCTACTGTAGAAATGGACAAAGAGGAAGAAAATGGACGGATGGATGGATAAGTTTCCAAATATGGTTTAAAGGAGACATACTATGCAGAACCAGTGCAGGACCATTTGTACATATACAGTAGTTGTGTTATCCTCAAACAGGATGTTAATGAAAAGGCTTCTTGCAGCTTATAAACATCTACTTCAAATACATAAACATACTGTATTATCTCCACCGTGGACTAATGGCTTCAGAAAATATTAATTACAGAACAGCAGTTTTTCATGTGGATAGCACTTAATCGACAGCTGATAGAGAGCAAAGCAAAGCCGACAAAGTGGTCAAAACATAATCAAAGCTTTTTAAATAACACAATGGACTCTGGGGAAGTAAACATTTACTGTTAGTTTTCATGACTCATTTACCATCTGTTTTGACAATAAACATGAGTCTTACAGCTACTGTACCTGAAACTGGATTGTGTCTGCTAACTCTGCTGTTCACATAAACATAAACCACAGCTGACTTTGTGACTTTTCCTGTTTAGGTAGCTTATTTCTGGCATTGTTTCTTAATGAACATTTCTTTTACTTTTTATTTTTATTTTTTATTTAATGGGATTAAGTGTTAGTTTCCTTAGCAACACACTGTTTACTGTCAGAAGTCAGCTTTTTATTTCTGTTATAGCAACCAGTTTTAGAACTTATTAAAAGTGAGTAAAGGTAAACCCCATATGAATTACTTTTCTTTAAAAAAAAAAACTAAACATTGCTTAGGGAAATTTCTCGTAATTCCATTGGTTTCAATGGGAGCAGTCAAAATGACAGCTCTGGAAGTTCTAGCTAGTAGTTTCAGAGTTCTGGGAGTCCTATTGTTAAAAAACAGCTTTGAGTGAATAAATGACAAGGACAACAATAACAAAAGCAGAGAGTTGAATAGCTTTGACAGCATGTCCTCTCGATACTTTAACTCTCTACATGAAACTGCTGCACTAAGTTTGTCTCAACATGTTTGCAAAAAAAGCATGTAAGCTCCCCTCTCATTTGCAGCAGTGAGGGACTTTTATTAACAAGGACTCGCAGAATTCTGAAACTACTCCCTCTCCCTGAGTCGTTGTTTTGACTGTTCCCATTCAAACCAATGGAATTATGAAAAATGTTCCCACATTTTTAAAAAAAAAAAGTAAAATATTGATAAGGTATTAATCTTGACAAATGTTTAATGTGACAGTACTGGTTAATATAACTTTGAATACAACAACGGCTAAATGCTGACAGTCAACAGTGTGTTGCTAGGCTAACTGGCACTTCTCTGGTGGAAAAAAGACTGCTCTGGTATGGGAGTTAAAAGTAAAAATACTTACATTTCAAAAATAAAAAATAATTGAATAAAAAATAAAAAATAATTGAATCAAAAACAATGGCATAAAAATAAAATACATATATAAACAGGAAAGGTCACAGTTGCTGATTACATTTCCAAAACTAAAAGCCGTCAAATTGACTGCTCTGGGAGTTCTGATATTAATAGCCCGTCCATAGCATTTTTTCAGCCTTTACATTATGAGCCCGATGATTGAGGCGGTACGATAGACTGCAGTTGCACCACGGTGGAAGAGTGGCCAGACGGGAACAGGGAGGCAGGGCGAGTGAGGGAGTGCGTGGCCAGACGGGAAAGTGCAATCAGGAGGACGTGGTTATCTCTTTGGAGCTGGCCGTTTAGTGATGAGAGGAGCTGGATATGACCGGCCTAAATAAACATGAGAATCAGCCATTGTCACACATGCCAGTGGCCTTGTGCTGACCCAAGACATTACTCAAGACATTACTCACTGACCCTTATCTCCACTGGGGTCTTGAAAAAATACTGTATGTGAGCTGTTTGAGTGATTGATGATACATTTTGGGAGTTTCATCTATGGCAATGGCTGTAAGGATGTAGGGGTAAAAGTTTAAATAAATTGTACTGGACAAGTGGAGGTGACTTTTAAAAGGGACCAGCTGAAGAAATCTAAATTTAAGCAGTAAATACTCCGTCTTGTCAAGCACTTTTGGCACTTTCCTAATCTCCACAACATTGTCTCAGACTGAATAAATATAGACTACCGTTAAGTGATATATGCTGTTAAAAGAAATTATTTTAGTTGTGCGTCACTGTCTCAGTCATCTGGGTTTTAGAGAGTCAAAAAATTATGTAGAGCAGTTTACTTGGAAGTATCACAAAATACGAAAGAAATTTGAAATTGTTTTACCAGATAATTGTAGGCATGAATAGAATTAAACATAGATATAAGTGCTCACTAAACCTGCTGAAGAGTGAAACCATGTTCAGATTGTTTATTTCTATACTAAAGACTGAACTGTATCTAAAGGCTCGGTAAAATGTTAGCATTGCCCGTTACAGAACAGCATTAATAGAAAAAGCACTCAAACAACATCAATTAAAACTACTGCAAAAAGCAATGGAAAGAAAGTTTAAATAAATAATTATTAATTTGAGCACATTTTGACTGCCTTAAAACAAGAACAAACAAGAAAAACAAGAAGAACAACAATAATCTACTGCGGCACGGTGTGGATAGCACTCTCGCTTCTCAGCAAGAAGGTCCTGGGTTCGAATCCCGGTCGGAACAGGGCCTTTCTGAGTGGAGTTTGCATGTTCTCCTCGTGTCTGCGTAGTTTTCCTCCGGGTGCTCCAGTTTCCCCTACCACTAAAAACATGCACAATAGGTATGAATGTAAATGAGAGAGTGAATGGATGGTGGTGGTTGGGGGCTGATGCGGCAGTGTGTTTCGCGACTCGCTTCCGTCATCACCGTGTGTGGAATGATTGGAACAATATCTGAACTCTGAACATTGTAAAGCGCTTTGGGTGACCTTGGCCCGTAAAAATGCACTATATGAATAAACATTACTTACTTATTTGTTTTTAACTATATGAGAAAGGTCTCCCTTGGAATGCAACAGTTCTTGGAATAATGGCTTGTCCCATTGGCAAATCTTGCTTTAAGTAAGATAAAAACCATTTGATTTAAGCATGTATGACCTCATATTGTATCACTTTTTGCAGTGTTATAGTGCTAAAGCACGTTTTAAACATTGACATACAGGATATAAACATAGAAATAAACTATATTATTGTAAACTATATTTTTTTTTTGTAAAAAGTCAAGTGCTCTATACAGGTTATCAAGGTTGTCCACTTTGAATCCTCTTTCTTCTGATTATGTTACTCTTCTTGCAAGCACCACAAGCTCCCACGAGTATGAGTAACCATGAAAGGTCACACATCTGCAGTCCTTGCTGCTTGAAAACAAAAGTTCTGGTTCATAAGAGCTCTGTGACTTTTCAAAAATAGACATCCTAACAATAATCTGAGTGAAAACAAACACAGTGCGTCTTAAAACAAAGCCACTTAAGACAGCACAAGCCTTTTTTCCAAAAATATGCTGCTACTTCTCCATTCAAAACAATGACAGTGCTTCTCCCCGCGGTCAAAGTAAACTCCGCGTCCAGACTGCGCCGCGAGCCTCTTCCTTTGACTTGACTTAAACAATAAGATTTTCACACAGGTTACATCCTACTGTAGGCCCCCTTCCAAATACACTTCACTGAAACAACAGTGCGGCCTCTCAGCCTTGGCCCAAAGGAATAATAAACTTCCTCAGGTGGAAGTGGCCGAACAATTACTGCTATATTTAAATCTTGTCATTCACACTATTCACACTGACAGGATAACAACAACAATTTCTTGTGGGGGTTTTTCATGTTCACTACAAAATCAAAAGTAAAACACAAATAATATGTTTGAACAAAGCATACGTTTTGGTGTAAAGCTGGGGTTTCCTAACTTTCAAACCTTGGAATCTAAATCTTTCATGCTCTCAAAATCACTAGTTTTCACATGGATGTATTTTTGGCCTCAGTCACATGTTTTGATCAGCTTTTTCAGATGGAAAAGTAAAAAAAGAGAGGGCCATCTTCACTCAGCAAATCAGCTCTCAGCCTAAAGCGTCAAATAGTGACTCACGGGCATTATTCTTTCAAGTATGTAAAGAATTTTCTAACGGCAGCATGCAGTGGTCAGACTTTGCTCATGGGACAAACAAAAGTTTTTTTTTTTTTTTTTATGAAGCAATATAGTTAGGTAACCCAGCTTTAAGCAGATCTTTTAAAAAGCCGTATATCTTTTTAGCCAAACAAAAAGAACCTGCTTCGAACCTGACTTGTCCTAAATGGAAATGCCTCCTGTTTATTTGGCTATTTTTTTCCATATGGTATTGCGTATCATCACTGAGAGACTATAGCTGTATTTGTTATTTGAATTATGTAATAAAAAAAAATCAATGTCACTATTTTTAAGGTGACCACATATTTGTACCTGTACTCGAGTCTAACTGTTCTGTTTGGTCCGGCAGCTGCTGGAGTCTCGGTGGCCTTTTGCAGAGAACCTTTTCGGCCTGTTTTTGTGCAAACTGGTCCCGTTTGTGCAGAAAGCTTCAGTGGGCATCACTGTGCTCAACCTGTGTGCCCTCAGCGTGGACAGGTGAGTCCCAAAGATTTGTTCAAAAATCCAGTCTGCTGTTTATATTGCAATGATATAATGCAAAATATCACTTCAAATTATGTTTGTACAGCCCAAAGTCACAGCAGCAGCCACAATTACGCAAGTGTCGATTTGCCAACAGCAGATTAGAAAATCAAAAATAGTCAAAATAGATTGATGTTAAATTAAAAGTTTAGTTATTTTTGGCTTACATGTTCTATGTAACCAAGCGGCACAGTGGCTGAGTGGACAGCACTCTCGCCTCTCAGCAAGAAGGTCCTGGGTTCGAATCCCAGTTCGACCAGGGCCTTTCTGAGTGGAGTGGCTTACTACTACAATGTTTTTTTTCAAATTTGGATTCTTGCTAAAACTGGTATTATGTCAGCCTTATAGTTCAGCTTAGAAAAACGTGAATGAATCTCGACCGAGGGAATTACATGAGGCGAAAAGGTAAACTCAGAGGAGGATACAAGATAAAGTTGAGTTTAGCCTACGTTTAACATACAGCATGCTACATTACATTATTAGCAATGGGAAAAGTACATGTAGTAGCTTTTAAACATAAAGTTAAGCTGTGTGCATGGGCCTGTTCCCAAAGGATCAGTGTCAAGTGAAGAATTCAATCTAACATCTTAATCCCATCTAAATAAAACTCCTTAGACGTACTTGGAAAGGATGCCTGCTCAACTGAGACCTGTTGGCTTCCAGACAAAATAAATATGACTCATTATTTTCAGTTATACCAGTTATTTTTTTAGATTTGAATTGCTTTGGCTGATGTTTTGCAGACTTGTAAGAAAGAGCCCTGTGAGTCAATATTTGACACTTTGGGATGAGAGCTGATTGGTTAAGTAGAGTGGTCTTCTCTTTTTCTGTCTGAAAAGCATGATGTATAGAAGATATGACATTGGCCAAAAATACTTGAAGCAAACTTTTTTGAGAGCGAGGACATACTTTATTATTGCTACATTTTTTTGATACCCCTAAATGTTTTTTTAGATACCCCCTACAAGTTAGATACCCCAGCTTTAAGACTACTGCTGGGTATCTTTCAGAGCATGCACAGGGAACTTGCAATTCCATATGAGTCCTTTATTGAAGAGAATATCTAGAATTACAAATACAATATATATATATACAATATATAATATACTGTATATAAACAAAATGTATTAAAAAAATCTTTCACAGACCAAGATCAGACACCTACAGTACGCACACTATCCGTTCACTTACACAATACATGCAAACTTATTCTACATATTTTTAGTGATAGGAGAAGAAACCAGAGCACCCGGAGGAAACCTACGCAGACACAGGTAGAACATGCAAACTCCGCACAGAAAAGCCTTGGAGGTGTCATCGAACCGAAGACCTTTAGAAGAAGACATTTATGTAAACTACTACTATTTTTTTAACACACCTCCACTTAAAACGGGCTAAAATGAAAGTATAGTAACTTTTTGAACTAGATTAATTATTAGCATTATCAGTCTCTCTTCCCCACTCACAGTTTCAGTAAACTTCGAAACTATAAGCTTCCATTGCTATCCCTAGTTTGCCAATGGAAATCTTTAGACTTTGAATAGCATCAATAACACAGGAATTCATGTATCACTTTATAAATCTTAAATGCACCTTTAGCCATGCCGCATTAGAAGAGGCTGGTAAATAAATTATGATTTGGAAGTGCTGTCCTGGTACTAAGTGCACTATACATTTATATATATATATATATATTTGTATACGGGCTGATCAGACATATTTAATGGCTCACTTCAAGCCTGCCTGAAGTGATGCTTAGCAGATGCTTCCATTTGTTTTCAGGATACAAATACATGCACTGTTTTATACATGTGCTTTACTTTCTTTGCAATGTTGGAGGAAGAGAGAAAAAAGGTGGATACATTACCACTTGGTGAAATATAAATGCCGCCACGTTGTTCTACAGAGAAATTCAAATGTGTCATGAAAAATATATTGTTTTTGCCATGAAATCTTGATGCAGGATTTTACTAAAACATTTCGACAAGTGGTTTGTATTAATGAAACAAACAGGCAAACAAGTGTTGAGTACATGAGAGACGCCCGCCAACAGGCCCCTGTGCCAGCGCGGGCCAGTCTGGAGGCTTCACGCTAAATATAAATATTAGATATTTAAGATAAACAATTGATCATCTCACTTCATTAATGCTTTACATGCCATAGTCTTGCTGACAGAGCTGTTGTCTTTGGTGCGCTGCCATACAACTGAGAAGGTTAGTTTAGGGGCGAAGATAGAAGATTTTAGTCTGCTGTCATTCAGGGCCCGAGCGATTTGGCCAAAAATGTCAATCACGATATGAGAAGGAAGTATCAGTATGACGATATAAATCATTAAACTGCATACCTTTATTTAAAAGATAACTAATACATTTGTCATTTCCATTCTCAAATCTGTTTGGCTCTATCACTGGTTTTATGCATTTTGGGCCTCTTTCACGTCTTGAGATCAACTTTTTCGGACAAAAAAGTGAAAAAGATAGTTCATAATGCCTTTCTTATGCTATCATTTTTATTCTGGGGGTGGAAAAATATGTCCAATTATTGTTTACCAAATGCCCATTAAGTCCCTCAAGATCCTTTATCCGTCACACAACTGGGATATTTCAGTTTTGCATTTCAAGTAACAGAATGAGGAGCATAAAAGTCACACACATCAATGTTGAGTATAGCATATGAGGCTAATGTTTATTGTGTATTGTGCCTGAGTAAATATTTTTAATTGCAGTTGTTTTCTTGAGAAATATGAGTTTTAAGATGAGGTAAAACATCCCTTGGTACCTCTTAATATAAATGCTCCAGGTCAAGTATTTTTGCAGGTAGACATGTATGGACATCAGTCATCCGCCCCTTATGGACCAATGACTTATGGATGTGTTTTTTTATCATTTAATTTACTGTGTTTGTTTTTCTCTGATCTGTGTTTGCGAATCAACGGCTTTGTAAAGTACTCTGAGATAACCACAGTGACTTAGTGCTATACAAAAACAAAGCCCTAACTCAGAACGGCCAACATTGTGTTTTTCATCTGTGTTTTTAAAGTCATCTTGAAAGCAAAAATGCATGGACCCACTGTTTTGAATTTCAATGACACATTCACTGAACATCCCCACTTCAGGTATCGCGCTGTGGCCTCTTGGAGCAGAGTCCAGGGAGTGGGGGTCCCTCTCCTCACCGTCATCGAGATCGTGTCCATCTGGCTCTTCTCCCTCTTGCTCGCTGTCCCAGAAGCAGTCGGATTTGACATCGTCTCGTTCACCTACCGGAACCAAACCATACAGACCTGCATGCTCAAACCCAAGTCGGAGTTCATGATGGTAATGCAGTAATCAGAGTGGTTTGGATTTCAGTTTGTCCGTTTTCCTTCAGTGTGGAGTGGGGAATAATAATGAAAAGAAAGACAAAACAAGCCTGGGAAGAGCAGCTCAAACTGAAAGTGCACTTTTTCTGTTGTGGAATTCTGTTGTTTGGGAGTTTGGAGACATGGAGAGTCTCTAATAGCCATTTGGCACACAGCGTCTTGAGCTATCACGGGAGACGAGCGTTTATACAAGCAGTAAAATCAATGCCATCATATTGAGTGTAGGGCAGATGGTAGATAAAAGTTTGGAATCGGCAGTGAGATATTGCCAAGCTCAAAACTGAGTTGAGCAAAAATTTGTTTTTTCTCCTTTCATCTCACAATCATTATTTTCAATTTGATTTGATTTTTGTCTTATTGAAGTAACATGAATTTAGTAATGTTTCTCTGAGATTTAACAATAATTAGGGCCATTCATCTAAGTCAGAACTTGCCACAGGATAGACCATAAGAATACTCAAATTTGACTATGGTTAGTATTGCATAGATATTACATAGGGTTGCACTGTATTACAACTGTCTGGATTAAATAGTGTACTGTATGTAATAACAAGAATTGCAACTAATGGAGTATTGGAATAGTTGTCAGGTAATTTTCACAGATAATTCTATAAAGAAATGAGTAACATTATGAATCAAACCAACCCAATGAGTAACAAGTCATGTCTATGAGGATGTTCTCCAGGGGCATTACTTTCTCAAAATAACCCTTAATTACAACCTTCAATTTACAGAGAAAATGTATGTTGTCCACATTGCCGATGAAGCAAAACAAAGCTTTTTAACTGTTGACCCGTGATGATCAAAACACTCTCTTATTGTCAAAAGAGCTTGAATTTACCATCATTACAAAAGCCACGTTTTCACCAGCCCTTTTTGGCCGCACTCTACTCCACCCGGCACTACTCTACATAATTGCGTTTCCGTAACACTTTAGTATTTGGTACCATATCCTATCAACCTACCCACAAAAAACTAATATCTGAGGATATCTCTGTCAGAAATGCTTTAGTACCAGCTTGGCCATGATAGAACCAGGGCCAGGGAAGGCACTAAAAAGTACCATGTTGGATAGAAACAGGGTCAAGCCGGTACTAAAAAGCAGAGCTAACAAGAGTAGAGTAGGGTCAAATGAAAAAAACATAAATGATGTCGCCTGTTAACATCCATAAGCAGGAATGTGTGCTTCGTTATCAGCTCTGGAGATCAACAGCTGTTCGATCTGCACCCAAAACTCCAGAGGGAGCTCTAACAAAATCAAAATATATACATTAGCAGCGTCGGTAGACATGCTGCAAAGTTAAAAGAAATTGTAAAAAGTAGTGACTTATAGTCCAGAAAGTAATTCTCTCCTTAGAACAAAATACAGCAGTTGAGTTTAACAAAAAAAAACATTTTTGTTTTTTATTACACACTGTATGGTCTTTACAGTATATTAAATAATACTGAATGAAGATGCATACTAGCCACGATTGAAGTCTGTGTAGTAAAGTCACATACAGATTGTTATCCTAAAACTGATTCTAATTCTACCTCTGTACATTTTCCGGCGTTCTTCCTCTTTAAAAAAAACTAGTCGACTAGTTTGTTGGAAAAAGTCTCAGAGGGATTAGGCCCCTCTTACATGGTCGGAGCACCTAAGTGATAGCAGGCCCAGCGCAATTACAGATCCTGAGGCTACATTTGTGTACCATGTGTACACGCTTTCAAATATCTGCTCCGGTCTGCCAGCCAGCCCTCGTAAAAGAAAAGGCAGTGAAAAAGTGGTGCTCTGACAAGGCAAATGTTTGGTCTGTGAGCGTGTTTACGGTATAGAGGGCCGCAGAGAGCAGGGTGGGCCAATTATACCACAGCAGCAGCTAAGTAGTTGTGTGTAAATGTGGAGCGGGAGTACACGGTTAGACCGGAGTGTGGTTGCCTTATATTAGAAGTAATAAGTAAGTCATACTGTATAGATGAATACATAGATACATATTTTATTCATCCCCTTTATTGATTTATTGAAATTCAGGTGACCAGCAGTAGAAACACATCCATACAAACACATAAGTATACATACATTATAAACAAACAAATATTTATCTATAACAGACAGTGGATAACAATTACTTTCCATTCATCGGCCGCACTTTTTGACCATGCTATTACTACCACCAACTCCTCTAAAACACCGGGTTAGGGTCAGGTCCAAATGTTTTTAGTGGTAGGAGAAACTGAAGCACCTAGACAAAACAGACAAGGAGAACCAGACGCAAAAGTATAGTCTTAGGTACTTCAATAAAGGTTTACACATGCGTATTTTGCAGTCAAATTTGTAAGAGCCCTGTGAGTGTTTGATTGAAGCTTTGGGCTAAGAGCTGAGTGAGGGTGGTCCTCTCTTTCTCACTTTTCTCCCTGAAAAAGCTGATCTAAAAATGTGACAGAGGCCAAAGATACATACATCTTGAACTTCTACACATTTTGTCACTTTACAACCACAAACATGCATATTGTATTGATGATATTATACTGAAAGACCACAAAGTGACAGAGCAAATTTAGAGTTACTACTATGTGGAATTCCCCTCTCCAGAATCCGTAACATGTGCTTTATATTTTTCATGTGTTGATTTTAACTGTTGATTCTCTGACCTGTGTTGGTGATTTCAATGGTTTTCTTTAAGTCCCCTGAGATGACTTCTGTTGTGACCTAGGGCTATACAAGAATAAATTGTATTGTATTGTAGTGTATGATGATGTCACCCTGGACTAGTTTTTTGAAGAGTGAGAACACCGGCAAATTTACATGATTACATTAGTATTAAAAAAATTATCTGTATGTGATTCTACTACACAGCCGGGGATTCACCGATACTGCAACCTCTCCCACTCTCCCTGACTCAGGTTGCCAGATATGCAGACGAATCCAGCTGGGTCCATAATATCTGGATAGACAAGAGTTTTGTCAACAACAAATCTATAACCAACATCTTTTTCACCAAGGTCCCAATAAAAATTCATGTTTTACTCCTTGTTTTGTTATCAATGATTTTAGAATCATAACAAGACCTTTTTTAGTTCTGCGGCCACATGTTACTTTACCAGTGAGATTAGCTCGACACAGTGAGTTCTGGAAACCCGGATCACAGACTTTCTGATTGGTAAAACGGTGGAGGGTGGTCCTGAGTTCACATCCAACTCTCTGTGTGGAGTTTGCATGTTCTCCCCTTGTCTGCATAAGTTTCCTCCCATCAAAAACAATATGAATGGAATGAGTGACTGAATAGATGATTGGTTGTTTGGGGGATTTGATGCGCCAGTGTGTTCAGCGTCTCTTTTTTTGCCTAACTCTGAACATTGTTAAGTGCTTTGCGTGAACTTGTTCTGTAAAATGTGCTATATGAATAAAGATTACTTACTATTAATGTGACAGAGGCTAAATACACAGATACTATTTTGTTTTCTTTGTCTTATAACTAGCACAATTTCGGCTGAAGCTAATTTTTTTCTGTCTTAGTTCTACAAAGATGCAAAGGACTGGTGGCTATTTGGATTCTACTTCTGCGTGCCGCTGACCTGCACGGCCGTCTTCTACACTCTCATGACTCTGGAGATGTTGACCCATCGGAACGGCAGTCTGCGCATCGCCCTCAGCGAGCACCTCAAACAGGTCACCAAGTTTGTTTGTTTTGTTTTTTTATTCATTCATTTTTATTCATTTAAGGTTGGTTTCAATAACAAGTTTTGGATCCAGGAAGATTGAAGAAGAAAATATTACCTTTAATTTTTAAGCAAACGCCTAAAATTCTAACTAATTAATGATCAGTTTGAATTTTTAAGCGTTTGCCCATGTTACACCTAGACCTGTCACAAAATATTTATGAAAGATATAGTGTTTCAGAAAATTATTAAAATAAGCAAGTATAATACTTTTATGCCACTAATACAATAAAGCAGAAAGATCCTAGTAAAGCATTTTGAGTTTAAAAAGAAAAAATGAAAAAACAATAAATATGGATCCCAAAATGTTCTGTTTTATCCAACAGTTTTTGAGCAATAAGTCGGCCTAGTTATAACTTTCTTCACTCGTCAAAAAACAGACCTGCAGTTGATTAAAGGAGCTATACCTGTTTCTGCAAGGTTGGAATGTTTAGCACCGCCCCCCAACTCGCTCACAGGTTCTCATTTCCCCTTACGCTCTCATCCCACAAAGCCATCTAGATTTTATAAAACTTTAAAATGGCAATCTGATACTTATGCAAACATTAGCATGAGCGCAACTTCTTGTAAGCTGTACAACAATCACTGATAAAGTGGTACAAAAGCAACGCACTGATAAAAAAATATATAACTGAAAGATTTCCGCTAGTTTTGCGACCGAATATGGACCGTCTGAGCATATAGTCCGAGGCGAGGCGGTCCCGGAGGTCTCTCCCATAGACTGTAGTCTCTCCAGAGGATACGATGTAAGCTAGCTATGTTCACCCGGGCTTGATATCTTCTTTGATCATATTTTCGCATTAGTTCACTCTTCTCTTCCTCACCGTTGCGTCGTTTGGGCTGTTTTGCTTTGTATGCAGTTACTGCCAGAGGAGTTATAGCACATTCTGCTAACATCCTACTGTGTTGAGCAGCGTTGTAGAGGCTAGAGGACACAGCGTGTTCGCTCCTCGTTCTGTGAGTGGGGGAGAGAGACGAGTAAACGATAGTTTCTAATCTGCACTTATTACAGACTCTGAATTCATACACAAGCTGAATCATGAGCTCAAGTGTTTCAATTTACATCTTCGGATTATAATACAACTTGCATGAAGTAATAAGCATTTTTATGAACTCATTAGTAAATAAATCGGGTTTAGCATCTTTATTTCTACAACATCCTCCTGCCCTCTCTGTCCAATTGCTCTTTATTCAAATTCTATCATTTCTATTGCCTCTGTGATCCAGTGTTCCCAGCCCCTATGATATTTGCTTTGCTAAAAAAATCAACATGTAGTATCTATCAGTGAATCAAATGAACCTCGTTGGACCAACTTTTTATCTCAAAATAATATTGTTTCATATTGATTTGTTCTTACTCAATAATAAACACGTTTTCTCCTGCAGAGGAGGGAGGTGGCCAAGGCCGTCTTCTGCCTGGTTCTGATATTTGCCTTGTGCTGGTTCCCTTTGCATCTGAGTCGGATTCTCAAGAAGGTGGTGTATTATCCCAATGATGAGTCGCGCTGTGAATTGTTCAAGTGAGTCTACGCTACTAACAAATCTCCAAAACAAAGTAAGATAGAGTGACCACATATCTGATGTTTTGATTTTATGATTTTAACTTTCAGTTTCCTTTTGGTTCTGGATTACGTCGGCATCAACCTTGCGGCAATCAACTCCTGCATCAACCCCATCATATTGTACTTTGTCTCAAAAAAGTTCAAGAACTGTTTCAAGGTGAGATGAAAAAAGTTCTGAAATTGTTGTATTCTGCTTTTCATTGATAGATAAAGTAAGTTGCTTTTGATCATAAATTTTTTTGTGACTATAATGTTAAAAATGTTGTCTCATATTGAACACATTTTTAATTTCTGCTTTGACGCTTTGACAGAAGCCAATACAATACTTTATTCTGAAAAATAAATTGTCCTTTTTTTTGTTTGATAGTGTTTAGATTTCAGAAACCCGCCATTGTTCTTATGCCTGAAAGTCAATTGTTGCTGTTGGCCAAAATCATGCATTTGTTTTTGAATATTGTTGCTGCGCACTGTATGTGCACCTTGATGAGAAAATAATTAGACTGTAGTCAATATGTTCTAGCAAAGTAGATGTGGAACTTAGTGTGTGTTTTTGGTTCAGGATTGGCCCAGGAATTACATTGAAAATAGCTCTTAGTTAGATCAGTCAGTCAGTTCAGACAGTTACCATAGTTACCAGAAGCAGTTTTCCAGCTGCCCTTCACCGCCTTTGGGCTCTCTGGAATGTCGTGATGTACTTGAACGCAAACCTATATCCGTCCATCAGTTTTTGCCCATTCTGTCAACAAACAAACAAAAACACACACACACGCTCATTTCAACGTAATTCATCTGGGATCATGTCCTTTATGTCATTGCACTGGCAGCACTGGAGCAAAGAAATTCTCAACTAAACAAATATGCTCATGAACAGTCTACTAAAAAGTGGACATGGAAAAATCTCTAAAAATGACTACGTAAATAAAAAAAATACTGTTTAGAATTAATATAACTAAAATGTTTAGCAATTATAAATGACTGATGGAAAACAAGTACATTCTTGAAATTAAAGGAGCAGTATGTAAAAATCTGGCCAAAATGGGTACCTCTCCCACTCTCCCTGACTCAGGTTGCCAGATATGCAGACAAATCCAGCTGGTACCATAATATCTGAATAGACAAGAGTTTCGTCAACAACAAATCTATAAAAAAAAAAAGTTTTTCACAAAGACCCCTTGTTTGATCACTTGTTTCGTCATTAATGATTTGAGAATCATAATGAGACCTTTTTTAGTTTTGCGGCCACATGTTACTTTACCAGTGAGATTAGCTCGATGCAGTGAGTTCTGGCAACCCAGGTAACAGACTTTATGTTTGGTAAAACGGTGGAGAGCGGGACCGATTGCAACCCAACCAAAATTAACAATAAACAAATATCTCGGCTGAACTTCTGTTATCAGTTAAAGAAGTATTGGAAAAGAGAATGGTTTATTTAATGCCTTTCGACCGATAAGGGCCAATTAATTAGGACTTGACATGAAAATCTTAAATATGGCTTATTTTAACTAATAAAACCAATAAAACATAATAACAGACCCGCAGACCAATTATTAATTACCTGAACAACATGATTGAGTGTGAATACTGTGAAAAAATACACCAACATTTTGCTCGATATATGCTTTAAAAATCAAGTAGTCAGAGCAAAATCAATTCATTTTGCTTAAACTAAATGATGTGCCTATTAGCTGAACAAAGACTTCAAGCCAGACCTGAGAAAACGGTAAATGACTCAGAGCCTGTGATTCAGCTCTGACTTGTATTTCGTGAGCAACATTTCCCATCTGCTCGTCTTTCGTTTAGGTTGTACTTTAAAGATGTCAGCGCAGACGAAAACCATTCCTCTGGCTCACACGTAACACGCATGAAGCGCTCATGACTGTAATGCCCACTTGTGCTAATATTTACTTCTTCCATGTCTTTTATTTTTCAGTCCTGTCTCTGCTGCTGGTGCTACTCCGACAGCCAAGTGAGCAGCATGGGACAAATGAACGGAACGAGCATCCAGTGCAAGAGCCCCGAGCCTCACAACCTCCAAACGGACCGCAGCGTGAGAAAAGACAGCGACTGACGGCCTAAAAACGTGTGTTGTAAATAAATTCAACTCGAAGCACTTGGAGAAGGCTGAAGAAAAGATCCAGTGAATTTCTATTTGCATTGTCTATAACGCAATGGGCATTTTTACTTTGTCTTGGGCCCCTTATCTATATATCAAGTTTGTGAATTCAGCCAAAGGGAAACGCTTCAAATGCCAACCCACTTGGACGCCATGGAGTAATCATTTGTGTATATAGATCCATTAGCTGTTGAAACACATCAGTCGTCTTGGCAATTGCGTTTACACTTTCTCCCCTTTTCCAGCAAGTCATGCGTTTAGTCACAGTGTATACATTTCCAAGCCAAGATCATTCATAATTCAAAAGGCGGACCTATTTTATCACTCATATTTTTTATCAATGAATGAATAGTACTTGGAGGCGTATGATTTTCCCTATGACTGTGGCACGATTTGGAGTTGTTTTTCCCACTTTTTTGTCATCTCGCAACCCGACACTGCAAGAAAAGTGTTCTTATTTTTACAGAAAGATGATCTAAGGAGGTGATGGAAGGACAGTGAACTTCAAGTTGACCTGCTCTCTCAATGGGCCTTACGCTTCCTCTGAATAAACCCGGAGTATTCCCACACCCCCAGGCGGTGACGCAAGCACTCCAGAGGGAAAAAATTGCATGGCGATTTGATGAGTAGCAAGAGAAATGGTCTTTAATAGGATACAGCTGAACAGTGGCTATAAATATTCCTGTTAAAATGCCAGGACTTCTGGGAAAGATGCGTTGAAGAGGGAGGCGTCAACATTTGCTGCCAAAGACAATCTGCAGACATGAAGATATTTCGTTCACGTTACACAGTATTAAAGTCAAAGCGGATGTGAGAGTCGATAGGGAAAGTCAAAATATTGAAGGAAATGGACTGGAAATCAGGTCCATCTCAAGGCTGAAATTTGAGCGGTATTTATCGGAGGAAGTAGGAATGGTGGAAAAACACGTTCAAATCGTCAGAGTTTGAGATCGGATATCAAAAAAACGCTACGTCACTGGCCAGATGTGTCCGAAGAGAGCGGAAAAGCTGTTGGGATACGTCAAAACTAGGCTGAGGATTTTTCTCTGGGCACAGCTTTTTGTGAAATGTCAAGAGGTCATGTCAGCACTTGCCTTTAAAGCTGGGGTACCTAATTTTATTCTTCCAATACTGTAAATAACCCATGTAACATCCATGTTGTGTGTCCCAATAGAAAGTCGAAAGTTAGGTACCTCAGCTTTAATATCATTATAACGCACTTCGATGCCTCCAGAATATAACAGGTCGAACCAAACCACTAAATATATTCAGGACAGGACATTTTTATTATTTGTGGCCTTCACTATTTTGCCTATATAGTGCTATGCTGTGCTGCTTATATACTGAAAGTGATTTTATTTTTTTCACAATAAAGAAAAGTTATAAATGCTTTCAAAAAGTCTCATAATAACCAGCCAAAATGTGCTTGTCCTATTGCAAATACTTCATCTCAGGGAGTACTTAAATTACACATGCAGTAAACGTCTTGTAGGCCTTGTGTCAATGTATTTTTTTTGAATTAGTAAGACACCATGACAGCACTTGATATGTCTGCATCTCATATAACTATTAAAGGGTTCTTCATGTTTGCACCATTTGATAAAGTATACCACACTTGTACAATTCCAAATAAATATTTGGTCGAATGACAATGACTACTTTGCCCAGGCCTTGTAAAAGCAGAGGGCAGTAGAAGTCTGATCAACATTTCAGAAAATTCATTCATTCATTTTCTACCCCTTTATTAGTCCAATTCTGGGTCAGGGTGGCATTGCCACCCAATGCTCATAGCACCACTCCCTCGCTGATCCTCTGCGGGTGGTGGGTCCACAGCCTTGGTGTTTCAGCGGGAGCTTCAGGCAATGTGGGGCAAAGTGGGGTTAAGTGTCTTGTTTGAACCCACGACCTTCAGGCCAAAAGGCCAATGCTCTACCAACTGAGCTACTGTCACCCCTCATTTTTGAACGTGGATGAATGGATGAATAGTGGGGGTGTAAGGCAGGGGCATGTTAAGGACTGGGATAAAAAATTAGCACTTCCAAATCGGAGACCATGGCACCGGGCCAGAGGAAGGTGCCTTGGCCTCTCCAGGTGGACGTAGAGGTCCTTGCTCGAGGGGAGGAGTTCCAGTATCTAGTATCTTGTTCATGAGTGAGGGGAAAATGGAGTGCAAGATTGACAAACTGATTGGTGCAGCGTGTGCAGTGATGCAGTCGCTGTACTGGACTATTATGGTCAAGAGGGAGCAGCGCCTGCATTCAGAGCCGTATTGGTGAAGCAGAAGCTGAGCCAAAAAGGCAAAGCTCTCAATTTACAAGTTAATGTACGGTCATTGCCTCGCTTACTTCCCTCAGAAATAGAGTGAGGAGCTCAGTCACACAGGAGGAGCTTGGGGTAGAGCCGCTGCTTCTCCTCATTGAGAGTAACCCGTTGAGAGGCATCACACATCTCTGAATTTCTCCTGGACATCTCCCTGGGGCGGTGTTCCGGGCATGTCCCACCGAGAGGAGACCCCAGAGAAGACCCAGGAGACGCTGGAGGGACATGTCTCTCAGCTGAGCTGGGAAAGGCTGGAAGATGTGTGCGTGGAGAGGGAGAGTCAGGGCGTCTCTGCTTAGTCTGCCGCCTCAGTGACCCAGAAATGGTTGAGGTGGAAGAAAATTTGTGGATGGAGGTTGACTGATAGCTGTTCCTGTTTCACTGTGAACATAAAAATCCTCCACAGCATTCTAATATGCCTAACAGAATGTATGTGTTCATTCAACCACTTTTATAAAGTATACATGTTTTTTTTCCCCGTGTATCATGCCAGTATGTGATGTGCAATGTGATATGTGTTTTGTAAATGTTGTGGTAGGGGGAGAAAACGGCTAGTCACCAAAGAATACACAAACGCATAAGTGTAGTGCCTGTTACATCTGTTTAAACAGTTTATTAAAGTCAAATATAGCGAAATTATATTGTTACTGTATAATTCTTTCTTCTTTATCAAAACTATAGAACACAACTGGCCCATATTAAAACAGGTTTGCATGTGTGAAGAGTTTTTTTGGTACAGATCCTCAGTTGCTTCTTGTTATTATTATGACGTGTATAATATGTCTGTTGATTGATGGAGTTACTGCTGCTTATACCAATAAATCCATCTTCATCTCCGTATTTATCAAACAAAGCCTTATTTCACACACTGACGAATATTGGTTTGTTTCCTCAGGGGGGAAAGCTCAAGGTGATAGAGAGGGGGGGGGGGGAGGGCGTCTGGAAGTGATTTGGAGCTCACTGTGACCTGCTGGTACCGGAGCCCTCGGGGTGCGAGTGTCACAGGATATGAGCTGCACATGCTGGGAAAAGGATCGCACTCTGCAGCTCTTCTGACAAAAAGGCTGCTTACAGGCTTGTGGCTTGTTTTTCTTTTATCATAGAGAAGATGCACATTCGACAATTGTGTCTTCTATCTGTGAGATTGTGTTCCGCGGCCCCGCAATCATCCACCTTCCTGGAGAGCAGATGGTCAAAAGTACACTGCAAAAATTTGTAAAATATGAGGTGATTATTCGACGGCGTAGTAGACGGTGGCTCACTGCAATTTTATCAGGCTGCAACTCCTGATTGTTTGGATAATAATTATATCTAGCAAATGTGTATTTATTAATTCTTTAATTCAGAACAATTCATAATATTATCAACAATATTTTGTAAGTAAAAGGTGCATTGGACCTATTTCTATAAACAAACAAAAAAAAATCAACATTTTTGCATTTTGTGGTCAGTGTAAATTTTTCTCACATTGGTCTGCTATAGGATAATTTTTTTTTTGAAGGTTTTCTCTGCTGATGGATCCCTACACCAGAATACCTACAAAACAGACACAACCATGATGAAACAAAATAACAATATTTTGGTTCATATGGCTCGGTTTGGTTTTTAAAATCACATCTCACAGTTCTCGCATATGTTGAGGTATGTAAAGCAATGTTTTCATATCAGCAGCTGAACAATACTTATATGATAGTTCCATTCCATTCCATTCCATCTTCTTCCGCTTCATCCGTTGCCGGGTCCGGGGGCAGCAGTCTAAGCAGAGACGCCCAGACTTCCCTATCCACACACACTTCCTCCAGCTCGTTTGGGGGGACCCCAAGGCGCTCCCAGGCCAGTTGAGAGACATAGTCCCTCCAGCGTGTCCTGGGTCTTCCCCGGGGCCTCCTCCCGGTGGGACGTGCCCGGAACACCTCCCCAGGGAGGCGTCCAGGAGGCATACGGAACACAGTGTTGGCAAAGAACTGCTTCCTCCCCCTCAGAAGCCAACATGGACAGCACAAAGAGAAGAACCGTGACGTCGCCTGGCATGGCGCAGCCGGGGCCCCACCCTGGAGCCAGGCCTGGGGTCAGGGCTTGAATGCGAGCGCCTGGTGGCCGGGCCTTAGCCCACGGGGCCCGGCCGGGCCCGGCCGGGCTCAGCCCGAAGGGTCGACGTGGGCAGTCCCTCCTGTGGGCCCACCACCTCCAGAGGAGTCCGTGGTGGCGTGGTGCAGAGAGGACTGGGCAGCAGTCGAAGGCGGAGACCTCGGCGACCCAGTCCGCACACCCAACATCTGGCTCTATATAATAGTTGTAGATGGCAATTAAAAATGTATCTGAAATTTAAACATTGAGTATTTATCATCAAACAGTTTGGTAACTACTTTATTACCATATCGACCCTGCGCCCTAAGCAGTCTGTCGGCTTGTTGGGTTGGGTTTTGGAGAAAATTAGTGACGAATTAGCTCATGCCAAAGAATTAACAAAACACAAAGACCATGGGTTAGATATGGTAATTATGAGACGCCCCCTCTCCAAGTGTTAATAATTCCTACTCTCCAATATCATTTGAATGATGAATATATCTATTTTATTCTACATGAACATTCAAAAACATTCACAGTAACAAGCATATTACATTACTATTCAATGG